TCAATATAAAAATAAGACGATCAAAAGCATTTATTCGAAAACTTGGAAACCAACAAATTTTCCAAAATAAGTTCCACATTCTAATATCAAAAATTCTTGAAAATATATATACATATATACATAATGATATTTCATAAGAATTTCATTGTATTTCATTTTAAGATATCACTATAGTCAAGTTTTACTATCCAATTAAAAACTAACTATTCTTATTATTAAATACCTTATTATTAAAAAATCAATCTCAAAAAGATCTCAATAAATCAGATAAATTAGATTTTAGAGCGTCATAATATAAATCAGATAAGAATCCAAGAAACGATATAAACTTTTTTATAAAACCGAGACTGTCGTTTCCGTTTCGATGGTCGAAGAATAATCGTTGGAACGACTGCGCGCGTTTGCTTTCCGGCGAAACGTGAAAGAAGCGTCGCGAACAAAAACTCGAGATAAAGAGCAGCGCGCGAGGCGGGGAATTGTTGCCGGTTGTTATGAAATTAGTCGAACGCGAGGCGTGATAGCACCGCTTAGAATCAAAACACGGTATAGGGTAACGTTGACGCGTTCCGTTTCCGGTGTTTATTGGTCACCTCCTATATTCTCGAACGCCGCTGAACTCGCGGCCTGAATTCGTTCGACCACACACGCATTCGCGGCCGATAATTCATTTACTTTGACGATGGAAACTGTCGACAGAAACCGAAAATACGATTTCCATTATCGAGGAATAGGTGTTCGAACTTTAGAGGTTCCAGAAATCGTTTCTTTTTTTGCCTCTAAATCGGTTGAAATATTATTGTCGAATGATTTGGGAGTTCTTTAAGTTTTTGAGGTTAGGTTACAAATTGATTCAGCTGAGAGGCTATTGTTTGATTTTTTGTGCTAGGATATATTTATTGCACCAAAAATTATTTCACTTTGACTCTAAATAGTCGAATGACTTGTGAGTTTCTTAAGTTTCTGAGGTTAGGTTAGAAATTGATACAGATGAGAGGCTTTTGAATAGCTTTTTATGCTGAGATATTTTTATTGCACCAACAATTATTTCACTTTGCCTCTAAATAGTCGAAATATTATTGTCGAATGATTTGTGAATTCTTCAAGTTTTTAAGGTTAGGTTAATAATTGACCCAGCTGAGAGGCTATTGTTTGATTTTTTATGCTAGGATATTTTTATTGCCACAAAAATTATTTCACTTTGACTCCAAATAACCGAAGTTCTATTATTTGCGAATGGTTTGTGAGTTTTTGAGGTTAGGTTAAAAATTGGCTCAGCTGAGAGGCTTTTGATTAGATTTAAACGGCTGGACTATTTTAATTAACCCAAAAATTATTTCACTTTGTCTCTAAATAGTCGAAATATTATTGTCGAATGATTGGTGAGTTCATAAAGTTTTTGAGGTTAGGTTAAAAATTGAATCAGTTGCTTAGCTTTTGCTTAGCTTTTTATGTTGGAATATTTTTATTGCCCAAAAAATTCATCTTAGAACTTATTATAATTAGCACGCAAAAATTCATTAATCCAAATTAAAAATTATGTCCTTTAACATTTCAACTTGAAAATTAATTTTTTTTAAATCCATACATGGATAACGTAGTAGTCAAAGTGTTAAAGCATTTAAAAAATAATAAACTAATGAAGGATTGAATAATTTTTTAGATAACTACATTGACATATGCTAACACGTTCACTGTCCATGACCCGTATATGGGTCATATCACCATGCTTTTGGATACACCGCTAAGAAATCGGACAGTGAACGCGTTAGACAATTATCAGATTTAAACTTGCGAAGGTCCCAAAAATCCACTGTCAAAATTGAATGAAAATACATCCAACAAACGTCTAAATTTATTTCCCTCGACATCTCAACTTGCGAATCAACCCAAAAGATTGAAAAAATAACAAACTAATGGAGGATTGCATAATTTTTTAGATAACTACATTGACATATGCTAACACGTTCACTGTCCATGACCCGTATATGGGTCATATCACCATGCTTTTGGATACACCGCTAAGAAATCGGACAGTGAACGCGTTAGACAATTATCAGATTTAAACTTGCGAAGGTCCCAAAAATCCACTGTCAAAATTGAATGAAAATACATCCAACAAACGTCTAAATTTATTTCCCTCGACATCTCAACTTGCGAATCAACCCAAAAGATTGAAAAAATAACAAACTAATGGAGGATTGCATAATTTTTTAGATAACTACATTGACATATGCTAACACGTTCACTGTCCATGACCCGTATATGGGTCATATCACCATGCTTTTGGATACACCGCTAAGAAATCGGACAGTGAACGCGTTAGACAATTATCAGATTTAAACTTGCGAAGGGCCCAAAAATCCACTGTCAAAATTGAACGAAAATACATCTAACAAACGTCCAAATTTATTTCCCTCGTCATCTCAACTTGCGAATCAACCCAAAAGATTGAAAAAATAACAAACTAATGGAGGATTGCATAAATTTTTAAATAATTACATTGATATATGCTAACACGTTCACTGTCCATGACCCGTATATGGGTCATAGCACCATGCTTTTGGATACACCGCTAAGAAATCGGACAGTGAACGCGATAGACAATTATTAGATTTAAACTGTCAACACAACAAATTTGAATAAAAATACATCAAACAAACGTCCACAAATCCAGCGTTGAGATATTCAAAAAGGGATGATTCCACTCTTTGTATCGAAGATAAACAAATACACCAAATTTCATCCCCCGATTCCCCGACGACGAAAATAATTCTTTCCAATTTCCCTGGAGAGGTGGTGGGGGGATATAAAGTCGCGAAATAATCGATAAATTTGACTACAAATATATGTAACAAACGTCCAAATCCTGTCTAAATTTATTTCCCTCGACATTTCAACTTGCGAATCAACCCAAAGAATATAAAAAATAACAAACTAATGGAGGATTTAATAAATTTTCAAATAACTAGAATGACATATGCTAACACGTTCACTGTCCGTGACCCGTATATGGGTCACAGCACCATGCTTTTGGATACACCGTCAAGAAATCGGACAGTGAACGAGTTAAACAATCATTAGATTTAAACTTGCGAAGGGCCCAAAAATCCACTGTCAATACAACAAATTTGAATAAAAATACATCAAACATACGTCCACAAATCCAGCGTTGGGATATTCAAAGAGGAATGATTCCACTCCAAATCATATCCAAATTTATTTCCCTCGACATCTCAACTTGCGAATCAACCCAAAGGATTTATAAAATAACAAACTAATGGAGGATTGCATAAATTTTTAAATAATTACATTGACATATGCTAACACGTTCACTGTCCATGACCCGTATACGGGTCACAGCACCATGCTATTAGATACGTCGCTAAGAGACTGGACAGTGATCGCGTTAGACGATTATTACATTTAATCTTGCGAAGGGCCCAAAAATCCACTGTCAACACAACAAATTTGAACAAAAATACATCTAACAAACGTCCACAAATCCAGCGTTGAGATACTCAAAAAGGGATGATTCCCCTCTCTGTATCGAAGATAAACAAATACACTAAATCTCATCCCCCGATTCCCCGATGACGAAAATAATTCTTTCCAATTTCCCTGGAGAGGTGGTGGGGGGATATAAAGTCGCGAAATAATCTATAAATTTGACTACAAATGTATATGTAACAAACGTTCAAATCCTATCCAAATTTATTTCCCTCGACATCTCATATATGGGTGACGTGACAGCCAAAGTGTTAAAGGATTTAAATAATAACAAACTAATGGAGGATTGAATAAATTTTCATGACATATGCTGATAAGTTCACTGCCCGTGACCCATATATGGGTCACAGCACCATGCTTTTGGATACACCGTTAAGAAATCGGACAGTGAACGCGTCACACAATTATTAGATTTAAACTTGCGAAGGGCCCAAAAATCCACTGTCAACACAACAAATTTCAACAAAAATACATCCAACAAACGTCCATAAATCCAGCGTTGAGGCATTCAAAAAGGGATGATTGCACTCTCTGTATCGAAGATAAACAAATACACTAAATCTCATCCCCCGATTCCCCGATGACGAAAATAATTCTTTCCAATTTCCCCGGAGAGGTGGTGGGGGGTTATATAAAGTCGCGAAATAATCGACCGTGCGACCGTGAGAGGCGTGGGGCACAGAGAGATTCGAGTAATCGTCTCTCGAATTCGTCGAGGACGTCGGCAGGTGAGGATCCACCGGCGAGAGGAAGCCGGGAGCCGCGTACGCCGAACGGGGTGGGTTCCGACGGGGGTAGAAGCTTGCACCGCCCCCGTGCTCGACCAATGGGACGAGCTCGCGCGCTCCCCGACCGACCAATCGCGTCGCTGTTGCGCCGCCAGCCGCGGCGCGCTCCACTCCTCCGTTTGGCCGCTGAAAAAAAAAAAGAGGGCGCTTCGAAGAGGAAGAGAGAAACACCACCGCCACTGTCGACCCCGTCCTCCAGCTACGACATCGGTGCGAAATAATCGGCAGTGGCACCACCACCATCGTCCCTGGAACCACCAGTAGCTGCACGACCGCGACACACCACGTTGTAAACGCGATTACATATTTTCGTCGGAAAGCACACGCCGCCGGGTGCTTCCTTTAATTTCGAATCGTTCTCAGTGCTCGCGCGAGGTGTTGTTCGACGACAGTGTGCACAAGTGATGAGTAATCGTGGAAACGTTTCCCGCGACCTCGCCAGGAGTACCACGAGGATTTATGAATGGAAATCGACGCGGGGACATGAATGAATCGATCGAACGTCCATCGTGTGGCGGATGCTTACTTTCGTCGCGAGACGTTCGTCCGTAAACACGCGTGTCCGCGCTCTGGGAATCGTTTTTGTTCCGCGATCGATACACGCGACGGTCGACAGCTAGCGGGGACATTCGATTCGCGAAAATCGACGAAGATGCGCGTGGATTGATCCGTGGTCGCCGTCTCGCGAGAAACGGCAAGAATCGATCGAGAATGTCCGACTGTTCGGATCAATTGTCATCGCCGAACAGCGACTGCAACAGCCAGATGGGCGCCGTGCATCGAAATGCGACCGCCGGGCAGTACAACAGCTCATCGATGCCTGGATTATCGTTGAGCCATCATTCCCATCCGCAGAATCTGACGCCAACGTCGAACGGGAGCCCGCAGTATCCGCAGGAGCTGACCAATTGCACCTCGAGCAACGCGACGGGGAATATTGGGAACATCGGGGCCCTGTCTCTGGGCAGCGCGAGCAGTAACTTTACGCCCGAGCAGATATCTTGCATGTGCGAGGCGTTATCGCAGAGCCAGGATATCGAGAAGCTCACGAGGTAAGCCCTTTGTTTCGCCGTCGTTTCGATTACAACGATCGCGAACCACCGATTCTGAGACTTTCCGTGGACGTGTATTCGAAGGGTAAAAGGATTTTGGGACTTTTGTGGGTACAAGAGAGGTGGACGAAGTTCAGTTTTAGGTGGAAGAGATAGGTAATGATATTGGATGAAAGTTATAAATTTGGGCAATTTGGTAAGCAAGAAATTTTGGGACGAATTTATGTAATAGTCCACAATTTGACTATCACCATATTTAGGATATTCATATTATAAGATAATAATGGAAAATATTGGGCCTGACGAATACGTAATAAAATTAGACAAAAATTCTAAAAATGTGCAATTTAAGACTAGAAATTTTGGGACGAATTTATGTAACAGTCCACAATTTGACTATCACCATAGTTAAGATATCTATATTATAAGATAATAATGAAAAATATTGGGCCTGACAAATACGTAATATAGTTGGACAAAAATTCTAAAAATGCCCAATTTGGTAAGGTAGAATCTTTAGGTCGAATTTATATCATTGTACACAATTTTACTACCCTTATATTTACTAAGATAATAATGAGAAATATTGGGCCCGACAAATACGTAATAAAATTAGTTAAACAGACATTCTAAAACTATGCAATTTGGTAAGGTAGCATTTTTAGGTCAAACTTCTATTGTCGTACACAATTTTACTTATGTTTACTAAGATAATAATGAAAAATATTGGGCCCGACAAATACGTAATAAAATTAGTTAAACAGACATTTTAAAACTATGCAATTTGGTAAGGTAGCATTTTTAGGTCAAACTTCTATTGTAGTACACAATTTTACTTATGTTTACTAAGATAATAATGAAAAATACTGGGCCTGACAAATACGTAATAAAGTTAGTTGGACAAAAATTCTAAAAATATGCAATTCTGCAAGCTAGAGTTTTTGGGACGAATTTATGTAATAGTGCAAAATTTGACTATCCCCATATTTACTAAGATCATAATGAAAAATATTGGGCCTGACAAATACGTAATACAATTATTTGGAGAAACATTCTAAAAGTGCACACTTCGACAAGCTAGACTTTCTAGGGTGAATTTATATTATAGTACAAAATTTGATTATCCCCATATTTACTAAGATAATAATTAAAAATATTGGGCCTGACAAATACGTAATACAATTATTTGGAGAAACATTCTAAAAGTGCACACTTCGACAAGCTAGACTTTCTAGGGTGAATTTATATTATAGTACAAAATTTGATTATCCCCATATTTACTAAGATAATAATTAAAAATATTGGGCCTGACAAATACGTAATAAAGTTAGTTGGACAAACATTCTAAAAATGTGCAATTCTGCAAAGGTATAATTTTTGGGACGAATTTATGTAATAGTGTAAAATTGGACTATCCCCATATTTACTCAGATAATAATGAAAAATATTGGGCCTGACAAATACGTAATATAGTTGGACAAAAATTCTAAAAATATGCAATTCTGCAAGCTAGAGTTTTTGGGACAAATTTATGTAATAGTGCAAAATTTGACTATCCCCATATTTACTAATATAATAATGAAAAATATTGGGCCTGACAAATACGTAATACAATTATTTGGAGAAACATTCTAAAAGTGCACACTTCGACAAGCTAGACTTTCTAGGGTGAATATATATTATAGTACAAAATTTGATTATCCCCATATTTACTAAGATAATAATTAAAAATATTGGGCCTGACAAATACGTAATAAAGTTAGTTGGACAAACATTCTAAAAATGTGCAATTCTGCAAAGGTATAATTTTTGGGACGAATTTATGTAATAGTGTAAAATTGGACTATCCCCATATTTACTCAAATAATAATGAAAAATATTGGGCCTGACAAATGCGTAATAAAATTAGTTGGAGAAAAATTCTAAAAATGTGCAATTCTGCAAGGTAGAAGTTTTAAGTCGAATTTATATAATAGTACACAATTTCACTCTCCCTATATTTAACATATCCATATTATAAAATAATAATGGAAAATATTGGGCCTGACAAATACGTAATATAGTTGGACAAAAATTCTAAAAATATGCAATTCTGCAAGCTACAATTTTTGGGACGAATTTATGTAATAGTGTAAAATTGGACTATCCCCATATTTACTCAGATAATAATGAAAAATATTGGGCCTGACAAATACGTAATACAATTATTTGGAGAAACATTCTAAAAGTGCACACTTCGACAAGCTAGACTTTCTAGGGTGAATTTATATTATAGTACAAAATTTGATTATCCCCATATTTACTAAGATAATAATTAAAAATATTGGGCCTGACAAATACGTAATAAAGTTAGTTGGACAAACATTCTAAAAATGTGCAATTCTGCAAAGGTATAATTTTTGGGACGAATTTATGTAATAGTGTAAAATTTGACTATCCTCATATTTACTCAAATAATAATGAAAAATATTGGGCCTGACAAATATGTAATAAAGTTTGTTGGACGAAAATGATAAAAATGTGCAATCCTGCAAGCTACAATTTTTGGGACAAATTTATGTAATAGTGTAAAATTGGACTATCCCCATATTTACTCATATAATAATGAAAAATATTGGGCCTGACAAATACGTAATAAAATTAGCTGGACAAAAAATTAAAAAATGTGCAATAATTCAATATTGAATTTTATGACGAATGTATATAATACTGCAAAATTTTACTACCCTTACATTTAATAAAATAATAGTAAAAGGTATTGGGCCTGATAAATAGGACCAGTTTTTATACAATACTTATTTATTAGCTTCCATGGCTAAGGTAGAATCTTTATTAACACTAGAATAACAGAGAATTATAATGTATTTATATGTACCAATTAAATTAAAACCATAGATGCGTGTAGAAATGTATAGTACAATAGAAATAAGTGTTCATTAATTTTCTTATAGAAAATTAAATTTTCAAAAATTCAACGAGTACATTTTTAAAAATTTTTATTCGAAATTGAGCAATCATTTTGACCACTTTCGATTCTAGTGTTAAATACTTTATAAATTATATGTCCAAGGCAGTATCGTCTAAAACTTCTTCCAGTACAAAATTTAACCCTTAAAATTCATGTAATTTTCCATTAGTTCATTATTTTTGAAATGCTTTAAAAAAAAGTTGATTTCCATTTACCAATTTTGTAAAAACCAACATTAAGTAAAACAATTCAGTTGAGATTGAGAACCCACTTAAGGGTTAATAAGAGTTTAGTAAATTCTCAAAAATCCTGTCGAGTAAATTTTTTATAAATTTTATTAGAAATTAGGAATGGGTCATTTTTGCTGCTTTGGTAGTTTAGTGTGAAAAAAATCATTATTAATTACACTAAAAAAAAAATCTAAGGGCTTACAATGTAATAAAATTATGGTAAATTTAAAAAAATTCAGTCGCGTAGATTTTTTACAAATTTTACTAGAAACTACGAATTTTGACTGCTTTTGGTAGTTCTAGTGTTAAATCACTGTGAGAAAGTAATTTCAAGCGCGGGGAAAAAAGCTAGTTGTAAAAAGCGAATCTAACAGTTTTGTTTTTGATTAGAGAATGAATTTTTTGACCAAGTTTGATATTAGGGCAATTATTAACGTATGGGGTGGATATTAATGCTAATAAATTATAGAATTGCACGAGACTGAAGATTTGGAGGGAATGTTTTCGATCGATTTGTTGACTAAAAACACTTATCTTGCTTATAGCTGCTCGATCGCTTTATTATTTTAACCTGTTATAACAGACGTCCTATACGTGGTCCTTAGTAAGCAATAAATAAACGCGTATAAAGCGCCATCAGTCTTTCTCAAATTGCGATCCACAGTCTGCAATAATGAACCGTCTGAATGTCTCGATTGCCTATCACGTTGGTGTGAATTGACTGGACAATATTATGTTTGGTTTCTTTAAAAAAAATATAACAATGCTAGTTTTGTTGTTGAGATGAAATAAAATAAACATAGTTTTGTAAATGAATATCAGAGATGGGCAATATTTAATTCGAATAATAAATGATCAATATATTTAACGTCTAGCAATTTATTCGTGGCATTTATTCGAATTGACTGGGCAATATTATGATTGACTTTTTGGAAAAATATAGTAATGTTGGTTTCGACGTTGAGATGAAATACAATTCGAAAAATATAGAGGTGTTCCCAAAGATGGGCCCAAAACTAGGATCGTTTGACCAAAATTTTGAAGTATTTATACTGACAACTGAATTTATGCTTGCACAGTTACGTTATTTATCAGTTGTTATAAAAGACACCCAATTGAGACTTCGATTCAAAGCGAACGTGTTCCAAAGCAAAAATACAAAAGTTAATGTGCCCAAAGACGGTCTCAAAAGCTAAAAATGTTTGACTCAAAAACATTCCAAAATACGTCCAATTGAGACATCGATTTAAATCAAGTGTGTTTCCACAAAGCCATAAATTCCAATCTTCTTAATTCCAAAAATATAAAGACGGCCCCAAAAATAGAATCGTTGGACCCAAATAAATTAGAGCTATGCTTATGTATCTCTCCACGTTATTTATCAATTATTATTCGAATAAAATGTGCCCAATTGAGACTTCGATCAAATATGCTTCATTCAATCTTTCCAATTTAAAAAATATAGAGGTGTCCTCGAAAATGGACCCAAAACTAGAAACGTTTGACTCAAAAAAAATTCCTAGAGACGTGTAATCGAGACATCGATTTAAAGCAGACGTGTTTCGATCAACTACGTTTGATTAAATCTTCTCAATTCCAAAAATATAAAGGTCAGTGGTCCCAAACTTAGAATCGTTGGACCCAAATAAATTAGAGCTATGCTTGTACATCTTTCTGTTATTTATCAATTGTTATAAAAGACATACAATTGAGACTTAAATCAAACGAATTTCGATCAAGCATGTTTGATTCAATCCTATTAATTCCAAAAATATAAAGACGGTCCCAAAGTTAAAAATGTTTGATGCAAAAAAAAAATTCCAAAAGACGTCCAGTTGAGACATCGATTTAAATCAAGTGTGTTTCCACAAAGCCATAAATTCCAATCTTCTTAATTCCAAAAATATAAAGACGGCCCCAAAAATAGAATCGTTGGACCCAAATAAATTAGAGCTATGCTTATATAACTCTCCACGTTATTTATCAATTATTATTCGAATAAAATGTGCCCAATTGAGACTTCGATCAAATATGCTTCATTCAATCTTTCCAATTTAAAAAATATAGAGGTGTCCTCGAAAATGGACCCAAAACTAGAAACGTTTGACTCAAAAAAAATTCCAAGAGACGTGTAATCGAGACATCGATTTAAAGCAGACGTGTTTCGATCAACTACGTTTGATTAAATCTTCTCAATTCCAAAAATATAAAGGTCAGTGGTCCCAAACTTAGAATCGTTGGACCCAAATAAATTAGAGCTATGCTTGTACATCTTTCTGTTATTTATCAATTGTTATAAAAGACATACAATTGAGACTTAAATCAAACGAATTTCGATCAAGCATGTTTGATTCAATCCTATTAATTCCAAAAATATAAAGACGGTCCCAAAGTTAAAAATGTTTGATGCAAAAAAAAAATTCCAAAAGACGTCCAGTTGAGACATCGATTTAAATCAAGTGTGTTTCCACAAAGCCATAAATTCCAATCTTCTTAATTCCAAAAATATAAAGACGGTCCCAAAAATAGAATCGTTGGGCCCAAATAAATTAGAGCTATGCTTATGTATCTCTCCACGTTATTTATCAATTATTATTCGAATAAAATGTGCCCAATTGAGACTTCGATCAAATATGCTTCATTCAATCTATCCAATTTAAAAAATATAGAGGTGTTGTCGAAAATGGACCCAAAACTAGAAACCTTTCATTGAAAAAAAGTTCCAAGAGACGTCTAATTGTGACATCGATTCAAAGCAAACGTGTTTCGAACGAGTATTTTTTACTCAATGTTCCCAATTCCAAGAATACAAATGTCAGTGTTCCCAAAGACGGTCCCAAAGCTAAAAATTTTTGACTCAAAAAAAATTCCAAAAGACGTCCAATTGAGTCAATCTTCTTAATTCTAAAAATATGTATAACGACGGTCCCAAAAATAGAATCATTGGACTCAAATAAATTAGAGCTATACTTGTACATCTTTCTGGTATTTATCAATTGTTATAAAAGACGACCAATTGAGACTTAAATCAAACGAATTTTTATCGAGTATGTTTGATTCAACCCCATTAATTCCAAAAATATAAAGACGGTCCCAAACCTAGAATCGTTTGATCCAAATAAATGAAAATTATGCTAGCATATCTCTCCAAGTTATTTACCAATTTTTACTCGAACAAAAAGCACTCAATTGAGACTTCGATCAAATATGTTCGATTCAATCTTAGTAATACCAAAAATATAAAGACAGTCCCAAAGCTAAAAGTCGTCGATTCAAAAAAAATTCAAAAATACGTCCAATTGAGTTATCGATTTAAAACAAACGTGTTTCGATCAACTATGTTTGATTAAATCTTCTCAAATTCGAAAATATAAAGGTCAGTGGTCCCAAACCTAGAAACGTCTGACCCAAATAAATTATAACTATGCTTGTACATCTCTCCACGTTATTTATCAATTTTTATTCGAATAAAAGGTACCCACTTCAGACTTCGATCAAATATGTTTGCTTCAATCTTATTAATTTCAAAAATATAAAGACAGTCCCAAAGCTAAAAGTGGTCGACTCAACAAAAATTCCAAAATACGTCCAATTGAGACATTGATTTAAAACAAATGTGTTTCGATCAACTATGTTTGATTCAAGCATCCCAATTCCAAAAATAAAAAGGTCAGTGGTCCCAAACCTAGAAACGTCTGACCCAAATGAATTATAATTATGCTTGTACATCTCTCCACGTTATTTATCAATTTTTATTCGAATAAAAGGCGCCCAATTGAGACATCAATTTAAATAAAACATGTTTGATTCAATCTTATTAACTTCAAAAATATAAAGATAGGCCCAAAAATAGAATCGTTGGGCCCAAATAAATTAGAACTATGCTTGTACATCTCTCCACGTTATTTACCAATTTTTATTCGAATAAAAGGTACCCAATTGAGACCTCGACCAAATATGCTTCATTCAATGTTGCCAATTTCAAAAATATAGAGGTGTTCTCGAAAATGGTCCCAAAACTAGAAACGTTTGACTCAACAAAAATTCCAAAAGACGTCCAATTGAGTCATCGATTTAAAACAAACGTGTGTCAATCAAGGTCAGAAAAGGTCAGTGGTCCCAAACCTAGAAACATCTGACGCAAATGAATTAAAATTATGCTTGTACATCTCTCCAAGTTATTTACCACCTATTATTCGAACAAAACGCTCTCAAAATGAGACTTTAATTTAAAAATCAACCGTTTCGATCAGGTTTCTCTGGTCCCTTCCACCGGGCGAGTTGCTCCGCGGCGGCGAGAGCGTGATGATGGCTAGAGCCGCGGTAGCTTTCCATCGTGGCGCGTACCACGAGCTGTATTCGATCCTGGAGAGTCACCCTTTCTCGCCGCGACGGCACACGGAGCTCCAACAGATGTGGTTCAAGTCGCACTACCGCGAGGCGGAGAAGATTCGCGGTCGTCCGCTGGGCGCTGTGGAGAAGTATCGATTGAGGAAGAAGTATCCGCTACCAAAGACGATCTGGGACGGGGAGGAGACGGTCTACTGCTTCAAGGAACGATCGAGGAAAGCTTTAAAGGAGTGCTACATGAGGAACAGGTACCCGACGCCCGACGACAAGAAGAACCTCGCCAAGAAGACCGGGCTGACGCTCACCCAGGTGTCCAATTGGTTCAAGAATAGACGCCAGAGAGACAGGACCCCGCAGACGAGAACGTGAGTCGATTTGTATTCCTTTTTCGCTTGTCAGTTTCGTTCGACGTTGATCCCTTGACGTACGAATGCTTCTTGAAGTTCGTTTTTGATTTTTGATAAATTTGTTTGACGGTGTAGGAGAATGTTTTGTAATACTTTTTTGTAGGTGTACGTGAGCTCTAGTTAAGAAATAAATTTCATTGAAATATAGTTAGTATTGTAGGAGTTATGGTCGTTTGAAAATTGGGCCATTTTTATGAGGGTTTTCTCGCTTTACGGGGTTAAGGGACAACTTTTCGAATATTTTTGGAATTTCTACATATTCTCATTAACTCCTTGACGTACGATTTCATTCCAAATAATTTTTCAAACGTATACTATTTAATTTTGTTTAAATTTGTTGGTGCAAAGAATGGTAAAAAGAATAGATTTGTTTTAAAAATTGAAAATGTGCTGGTATCTTTGAGAGGAGATTAAGGGTGGATTTCCATAGAATTGCAATACAAAAATTTCAGTTATTTTGAAAAAATCTAGTAAAATTATATTAACAAAAACTTTACTAAAGAATATTCAAAACTTGATATATATTAAAATATGGAAATTTAAAATGTGATGGTATCTTTGAGAGAAGATTAAGGGTGGATTTTCATAGAATTGCAATAAAATGAATTTCAACTATATTTTGAGGAAATCTAGTAAAGTTAGATTAACAAAAATTTTACTAAAGAATATTCAAAATTTGGTATATTTTAAAATATGGAAATTTCAAATGTGCTGATATCTTCAAAAGAGATTAAGGGTGGATTTCCATGGAATTCCAATAAGAAGTTGAACAAAAACTTTACCAAAGAATATTCAAAATTTGGTGTATATTAAAATCTCGAAATTCAAAATAAGTTGGTACCTTCGATGGTAAATTAAGGGTGGATTTCCATACAATTGCAATAAAAAAAATTTCAACTATATTTTGAGAAAATCTAGTAAAATTATATTAACAAAAACTTTACCAAACAATATCCACATTTTGGTGCACCTTAAAGTATAGGAATTAAAAATGTCCCGATATCTTCGACGTAGATTTAGTGGGGATTTCCAAAAAAATTGCAATAAAAAAAAATTTTTGGGACACTGACCAAAACCAGTAAAAACGATCCTTCCGATGGTCCCCAACGGCGATGCCCCTTTGAGGAGACGGTTGTTGCGTGAAAAGTATGGCCTTCGAGAGTGTCAACGCGCAGAAAATTCCCCGAGGAATCCTCGACGGGGGCACCAAGCGTCCCGCGGCGGAACATGCGTGCATGGAGGGCACGTGTACCAACGGGGGGTCACGACATTTTCCACCATGCAACAAGTGTTTCGACATGTGTATCGGTCCGTGCGTCCTTTTACGAGTGGCACAGCGGCCACTTCGGAGACGGTAAATCATTCTCTACGAGCCACAACGACCGACATCATCGGGGACGATTGTTTTTCGGGGGAAACGCCGCTCGAGAAATCGGTTTCCGACCGCCTCGAACGGAGTCGAATTTCCCTCGAGAAGATGCAACGAAATTTAGGGCATCTACGGGTGTTTCCAACTTCGACCTTGTTACGCTAATTACATAATTTCCACTTGAAAGTCACGTTTACACCTCCAGAATATTTTTATTACCTCTAAATAGCCGGAATATTATTTGTGAATGATTTGTAAGTTATTTAACTCTATGAGGTTAGGTTAAAAGATGTCCCACCTCAGACTTTTGCTTAGTTTTTTTTGCTGGGTTATTGTTCAAATCAAAAAATTGAAATACGCATGTTTAATTACTAAAATGAACGTTTATTTCTACGTTCTTATATTGAAAAAATATTCTGTGGATTTTGAGTGTTTTTTTTTGTTTAAAATCATTAAAAATTAAAAGTGGTCCGAACCAGGTCGTGTTTGGACTCATTTTCATAGAGAGAATTTCGTCAATATTTTAATAACACTCTCACCACGTTTTGATGGATGGACGCCATTTGCAAAATGGTCTTAATAGAATCGATGAAATGGAAGCTTTTTGGAGGGAGGATTTGTAGAAGTTCTATTATTTGCGAATGATTTGTGAGTTATTTAACTCTTTGAGGTTAGGTTAAAAAATGTCCCACCTCAGACTTTTACCTAGCTTCTTTTTGTTGGAATATTTTTCAAATCAAAAAATTTAAATTACTAGTGTTAATAATGGAAATGAACGTTTATTTCTACGTTCTTATATTGAAAAAATATTCTGTACATTTTGCATGTTTTTTTGTTTAAAATCGTGTTTCTCAAAGAGTTAATGGATGGATGCCATTTGAAAAATTGCCTTAGTGTGAAGAGAACAAACTAAATGGAATACCATATTTATATTTCTCTATAAAACTAATGATATAATGATTTGTGAGTTCTTTAACTCTTTGAGGTTAGGTTAAAATATGTCCCACCTGAGACTTTTGCTTAGCTTTTTTTGCTGGGATATTTTTCAAATCAAAAAATTGGAATATTCTTATTTAATAACTAAAATGAACGTTTACTTCTACTTTCTTTTATTTACAAAACATTCTGTGCACTTTTAATAAAAAATGTCCCCTGCTCTGGGGTTTCGAAACATAGAACAGATTTTCAACATGAATTTTCAAAACGTAATCGTGTTTCTAATACAAATTACACAAAGAAAATAGAAATTTTCTTGTTCCCTGAATTTTGATTTATAAACACGTGTCAGACCAATAGCCATGAGATTTTCTACGAGGAAAAAATATTTTCCAAAAAAAAGTTTGGAAACTGCATAACCAAAAATATATCATAATACTTATTTTCGTAACATTATTCACGAATCTTCTTAACTTAACTTAACAACAACTTAATTTAAAAAACTGTCGTGAAACGTTTCGTTCTAATTTTTATATAACGGGTGACCTATTATTTCTCGATATTTTTATTTAGACAAGTTCGTCTCAATCGTGTTTAAACTATTCTGCGAGCATTCTGAAACGTTTTAACGAGCTTATGGGAATTCCAGCGAACCTCAAACGTCCTCTGCTCGAAATCGAGAAACGCCTAATCTCTTGAGGGATTGTGTAAGTCTAGAACTAACTACGTATTCGCGATCGTTCTACCGTTATTTGTAAACCCTTTGCAGATATCTTCCGAAAGGTAGAAGAGTGTCGATTACGTAATGGAAGAACGAACAGTTGTCCTTAGATAATGCTGAGCACGCGTTTAACCGTTATTGATACAACACGGACTGCGAATTAAGATAAGATTACAACCTCGACACCTCGACTGTGTTCTAATTGGGGGATGGACAAACAAAATTCTTATCTCGATCTTCTAATAACAAATAAAAAATTCGAATAAATATTTCCATCATAAAATTAAATATTTGTTAAAAAATACAAATTTTCGAATAAACGTCAGAAACAATCGAATAAAATTTTACTCATTTTTGAAATATTAAATCTACATAGATACAATTGGGGGATGGAAACTAACCCCCATAAGAAAAACAAAATTCTTATCTTGATCTTCTAATAACAAATAAAAAATTCGAATCAATATTTCCATCATAAAATTAAATATTTCTTAACAAATACAAATTTCCGAATAAACGTCAGAAACAATTAAATAAAATTTTACCCATTTTTGGAATATTAAATCTACAGAGATAATTTTTACTTCTGGTGGTTAATTATGGTTGACGAAAAATTTTCAAGCGTGCATGCATTCGCATAAATCTTCTTCATCGGTGTAGGTGGAGCATACGTGTGCAGAAAGAATGAGCGGATAGCGAGCGTTGTTATGGCTACGTCGAGCCTCGTTTACGGTTAGCTTTGGACCGCCAACGCGACGAACTATTTAATCGTACGAATCGTGATACATATTTTCGATCGACGGACTATCGACAGTTCGTGGCCGGGACGGAAAACATTTGCATATTTTTCCAGTTTACTCACCTTTATTCGTCTCAGTGAGGAAGAAAAGAAAAGAATCACAGACTCAATTGCATAGAGCCTGAGCAAATGAAACCTCGATATTTGCACGCGAACCTCGTTTCTAGCTTCGTATTGATAAATAGAATGTTCATTTAACACAATGTATATACTAAACTTACAAAAGAAAATTTTCAAGCGTAAGCAAACACAGTTTTGCAAATTACCTTTTTGTTATTAAAGATATTAAAATTGTAGTTGAAGATGTTACATAGGGTGTACAAAATGGTTGGGATCAAACCTAGAAATTAAACTCACAAAAGCCAAGCTTTAAAATTTAAAGAAAAACAGTTTTGCAAATTAGCTTTCCATTATTAAAGATATTAAAATTATGACGTAATCAAGGATGTTATACAAGGTGTTCAAAATTATTGAGACCAAACTTTGAAACTAAACTCACGAAAGCAAATATTAAAACCTAAAGAAACACGATTTTATCAAATTAACTTTTCATTATTAAAGATATTAAAGTTGTAGACGAGGACGTTATATAGGGTGTTCAAAATGGTTGAGATCAAACCTAGAAATTAAACTTACAAAAGCCAAGCTTTAAAATCTAAAGAAAAACAGTTTTGTAAATTTACTTTTTGTGATTAAAGATATTAAAATTGTAGTCATGGATGTTCCATAGGGTGTTCAAAATGGTTGGGATCAACCTTCGAAATTAAACTCACAAAAGCAAACTTTAAAATGTAATGAAACAGTTTTGCAAATTAGCTTTTCATTATTGAAGATATTAAAATTATGACGTAATCGAGGACGTTATACAAGGTGTGCAAAATGATTGGAACTAAACTTTGAAACTAAACTCACGAAAGCAAATATTAAAACATAAAGAAACACAGTTTTTCAAATTAACTTTTTGTGATTAAAGATATTGAAATTGTAACATAGTCGAGGACGTTATACAGTGTGTTCAAAATGGTTGGAACCAAACTTCGAAATTTAACTCACAAAAGCAAACTTTAAAATGTATAGAAACAGTTTTGCAAATTAGCTTTTCATTATTGAAGATATTAAAATTATGACGTAAT